AGCGCCTGCTGTCCATCAGCAGCTCCTGCCGTTCTACCTCGCCACTGGCAAACACACCAGAAGCGCAGGCCATCAACAAAGAGCGCTGCCCGACCAGAAGCGCTGACCGTCAATCTACCTCTAGACCCTCAAGCCTGGATCCCAAGCCTTCCACCAAGAAGATCGCAGACGACTCACGCCCACTACACCACTACCTACACACTGCACACCCCACACTTCACACACCCACACTCGCCGGTTCTCTATTATTTTATTAATATTTGTTATGAAATATTATCTTCTATATCTTCTAAATATAAATAATATATATATTCTATAACCTGTTCCTGTTGTTCTCCTTTTCTTTTTCTTTCCTATTCTATTTATTTTGCTGCTTCACAATTTAAACCTTTTCCGAAAATGAATAAAAAGAATATTGTCTGTTTTTAGTGAGTACGCTCGTTTTGAAGGTTTTCGGATCGTATTGATCACTGGTGGCAACAATTCTAATTCTTTTTAGGGTTCCGTACACCTGACAAGGAACTCTTATACTTTCGGCATATCCGTCTGCCGGTCCCAGATTAGCTTGGAGACTATTACCACTAAAAGCTGTAATTTGTAGAAATATGTATATCAAAAACGCCAACCAAATGGTGGCTTATCTACATGAAACCTGGGGATGATGATCTACTCCATCGTGTGTGATATCGTTGAATTTGACCTTTAAAATGATATAGGGGTTTCTAAGACTATTTTTCAATTTAGGGATCCTTTTGCGAAATATTGAACTTTAAAGTGCTAATTTTTGTTCGAGTAGGGCATCAGTGACCCCCTCTACTAGCTAAACTATTGACTTGATAATCCTAGGAAAAATCGTGGTAATAGTGCTTTCCATGAACTTTTAAGGAAAACTATAACAGTTAAAATTGTGTTAGTTGAACAGTAGTAGTGGTTTAACTTTGGTTAAAGAAAATTACTTACCTTTTAAAAATTCCATACAATAAAACATTAATACTGACATAGATGAAGTTATTGTAGCGTAAATCCCTTGCATTGCAACAAAATAAAAAAAAACCCTATTTAAAAACCACAATAAAATATCATTAGGTCCACAACGCTACCGCGAGTACTAACTGCAACGGCCTATGAGTCGCGCTAACGTTACGTTTTTATAAAAAGTATACCAGCATTCGAAAAAATGCGGCTATACCGCATCATCCACTTCTCAGGGCAGCTTTTAGTCAGTAAGAGTCTGATATAACATTGCAACCGGCTGTAGGGTATCCATGAGGATTTCACACCCGCTCCACCGCCTGGGAGGAAACAAAAAATAGATCAGCGATTATAATTCGCATTAAAAAAAATCTAATTGAATTTAAATTTAAGTGAGTGATTTAGGTATTTTAGTTGAGATACATAGATTGATATTAATTGGTTTTTCTAATTTCCGATATAGAAAATAAAGAAGATCTTGCTCAAAACTGTTGTGGTAACTACTGGCTACTAAGGAATCCTACACAGCGCGTGGCACGACACGCACTTGGCCGGTTTTTTATTGTCTCGTAATATCAATGCAGATGTAAGTGACATTCAAAGAACGCACCATTCTCTTAAGTAAACAGGCTTGGGTATGTCAGTGCAGAAATCACTGAGACAAAAAGCCTAAAACGATTTTACATACAGTTTGGTATTATTCGCGGGTAGAATTATTTTTATTTCAAGGACTGCGTGAGAAAAAAAGTAAATAATCAATCCCAGTATCATTTGCGGATCAAAATCTCTTTATATACAAGCGAGAAAAAAAATAAACCACCAAACAAAGCCTACGGATTTGTCTCTCCGACGCCGTCGGTGCAAATTGGAATCTATACAATCGCCGATTCCAAAAGAACACAGAATTGTAACATTCGTATTATTAATAACTACGGTGGAGAAGTGTAGAATCCTCTGGAATCTTTTGTGGTCCTCGATTAAGGTTCACGGATCCACGCGTCGCATATCAAGTGTTCAGATTATAATAATCATCGAGTTCGATACAAATCTGGTATATGAAATAGGTTTTGATTAATTGTTTTATAGAAAACGCAACAGATTACCTCACAAGTGTAAGCGTTAAAGAACCTGTGCAGATTCGGAATAGAAAAGAAACGAGCTCGCACCGACCCGTCGAGGAAAGTGCCTTACGGAGTTGTTGTTATAGCAGAGAACACAAACAGAGTCATCTCTGTCACGCACATATACATTTGAGAATGTGTATTCTCAGGCCGTTTCAAGCAGAATTTATCCTAAAGGAACATAAAAATTCCGAAATAAAAAATATACTTATATCTCAATCCATGTCATAAACTATAAGCGTAGTTTTTGCGTGATTGAGTAACAAAGAAACTGACTTTGTCATTTATAATATTAATCAGGATTAGCGACACGTATTTTGAAATCAAAAGTAGGAGTAATTATTTTCGAGGCTGGTTTTCTAGGTCCTATCTGTTTTATGCCAAGTGGAGACCTGAAAACCGTATCAGAAGACAATGTTATTTAATGTGGTTTTCTGCATTGTAGAATACTATATAGATAGGTATTGTGATCTCTAGCTGAATAGGCAAATAAAAAAAGCTTTTGAAACAAATAAAACTATCACACATAATGGACACAAAATATAGAAGTTTATTTTAAATTTATTGGGTCCATTTGAAGGTTTAGGTGGCTTAGAGGTAACTACCAACCATAGAACCCTGTCAAACTATCATCATAAGGTTACTTGCTCCACTGCAGTCCGTTAATAATTATAGATTCAATGTGACACAGTTCTGCAGTGTTTACATATTATAGCTGCGGGCTATACATTGGATTGCTGCAAACACAATGTCATTGACATAATGATACCTACGTTTTCATTTATTTAGCGGCTTTTGACTCGTCTACGGATGGTATTTTTTTTAACGTACGACAAAAAATTAAGTTCAATAAAACTGAAAAGAAGAAAACAAGTCCAGTAGTCTAGAATTCTGTTAAGTAAGGATCTAAGCTATTTTAACAGTCGGGACCTATTAGATATTCCAGAATGCTACCTCTGCGCACAGTTTATGTAATGATATATTATAGTTGATGTTACCATGCATAAAATCAGTGCTCTCTTCTGTCAAAAACTGAGTGAATCCCTTTCATCTTTCATGAACAATGTTGATGTTTTACTGAAACAGGATGTTGCAGAGATAGTATGAACAGAGATGACTGGTGTCCTACAGAAAATAAAGAATGACCTGAATGCTGCTTCCAATTTCCTCATATCTGAACAAGAGACCCTGAAATCACAAATAAACAAAAAGATGCCACTATAAAGATATTGAAAATACTGACTTAACTGTGAACGCCTGCACGGAGATCTTCGTAACTTAAGAAACCATTTGTCAGCCATTGAAAGCACAACTAGCAGCAAAAACAAAATATGTTTGGGCTAAATATGGAAGAGTAAACCTACGCAAAGACACCGAAACTTTAGAAAAACTGTTGCAGTAATTAATCTTATCCATATATTTTTTAATTAAATAAATTTAGATCTTCAAGTTTTGAACTTTAATTGATCAAATCATTTCGATTTTTATCAGAATGTTAACAGAATTCGCTCATAAAATTCGTATATTTAACTTAATGCATGCACTGACAATAGGCTAGTTGCCTGTATTTTAAAAAGTGGTTAATAATATACCTTGATGTTTATTTAACCCCAAAAAAATATTATTTTAAATAAAAAAGTACATTAGCAATATGTATTTTGTATTTTAAAAAACTTATTCAAATTTACCTCGAAAACGCTCTAGACTGTCATGGCGTCTTGAATGACGTCACGCCGTGCAAAGCAAACAATACGCTGTACGCCGACTATTAAAATTATTTAGTTAAAAATGAATCCATCGTATTATAATTACTGTATAGTGTCATAGTGTAAAAGGAGAAGCATAAAACGCCAGACAATTTATTTATATGCCACAAATGCGAAAAAAATGGTTAGAACTTGCAAGGATGGTACCCATCATTGTTTATCAACAAATACAAGAATAATTTTGTGATGAACATTTTGATGTAAGTATTTTGCATAACATAATCAATGAAATCAAAATGTTATACAAGCCGGATAAATTATATTGCATTAAATTTATAAAACAATGACAATAGGTTGAGGTTAGGTAAGTGTATTTAGTTTTATGGTATGGTTAAGAGTCTATTTAAGAGTTCAGTATATTTATTCATAATAATAAACACTTCTTATTCTTGTTCTAGTTGCCAAATGATATGCTTAATTATGTCGAGTAGTTAAGCGATGATTTTTTTATTTTGGTTTAAATATTAGGTATTATTTTCTTCGGTAAATCCCAATTCCATGGATTTATTAGGCTTCCTTTCATTAATTATATGAAAACAAACTGATAAATTGTATCAAAGTAACAATAACATGAATGAGATATCAATGAAATGTATAAAAACGGCAAACACAAGTAATGTTTTGCACGTGGTGACGTCAGTCTTTCTGATTGGTGTTTGCCGTCACGTGATCTAATGCCTATTTTATTCGAATTATTATGATAAATAGCTTTATTTTTTGTTATTTGTATATCATAATTCATATTTAGAAACTGTAACCCATTCGATTTTTTGTTAGTTGACAAGCCTATTATGACATTATCTGCCTCACAGAAACTTATCTTCACAGTAGTATCTATGATGCTGAACTTTTCGATACTCGATAGTATTTATCGATGGGACCTTAAAACTACAGCTGTGAATAAAGCAACGTCACCACTGCCAGCAGTGGTGATGTTGCAATTACAAAAAAAAAGAGATATTGAGGTCATCTGCAGGTCTCATGGGATAGTAATATTGAGGACTTGTGGGTCACAGTTTTGCTTGGTTATAGTAAGGTTAATATATGCCTCTGTTATCTTCCCTCAGACCTACCAGTTGAGTTGCTTGAGTCTTTTTATGAAAATATTTACAAAATAATGTAAAATTCTAATAATAATGCTAAATTTCTCTGTATTGGCGAGTATAATGTACCTAGTTTTAGTTGGCCCAGGCACCGTAACCCAATTGGCTTTGAATGCAAGTACACCTTATGATCATAAATCTCGTCTCCTGACTCAAACTATGTCACTCTGTCACCTTAGACAATATAAAAACTTTATTAATGGTAATGGCCGTATCCTTGTTTTGTCCTAAGCACTATTGATGTTCAAGTTTAAGGTGTGGATCCTCTCAGTCGCTTGGATAGTCATCATCCTGCTATAGCTCACATTGACTGACATGGTAGATGTTCAAAGTATAAATCTTGTGAGCGTTACAACTTTCATTTATGCAACTTTGTTGAGGTCAAATCGGAACTATCTGGGGTGGACTGGCATTCTGTTTTGACTTCATCTGATATTTATCAAAGATCTGATATTTATAAAACATACGTTAAATCGTATTTATGTTGACATTTGTAGTTTTCATGCCATTCTTTAAAATATATTCAATAAACACACGCCCCGACTGAAGAATTATGATCATAAATACCCGGTTTGGTTTAGCCCTGCGTTGTGATATTGATCTTTTAGCTTACTAAATAAAAAGATGTTTTTTTTTTATGATTCACTGTATTTTTTGCAAACGATAAGTCAATTATAATCGAACCAAATCCACCATATTAAAAAAAAAACTATTAAAAAGGAAAAAACTTATAATATGAAAAAGGTTTTATATTTGGATTTATAACATTATTGCCTTTTTTATAGAAGGACGACCTTTTTAAGGGGGCGCCTAAGGACCTCACCTGCAGTCCAAATATCTACTACCCTGGCTATACCGTCACGACCCGGGAATGTGGCTTCAGCCACTCCCCGAGGCCAGGTTCCTCTTGGAAGATCACCGTCCCTAATAAGAACCGGGTCCCCTGACCTGATCGACGCAACATCCCTGGGACGCGAGGACAGCACTGGGCGAATTATAAATATTTTTTATAGGTCTTAAATCTAATAAATTTATAGGACAACACAATAATATACAATGACAAGTAAAAACGATAATGGAATAGCAAAATGTCATGTCAATATAAAATAAAGAATAATACCAAAGAGATTATGTAGTGAGCTGGTGGCAGTGTCTGTCGCCAATACTCATCAAACAATCGCTGATATTGGATGGAGTACAGGCACTGGCTAACGGGACGAGGAACCTGGAGATCTTTATTTTTCATATTGATCGGCTGAGGCATTGTGCCGAGAAGTAGGCAGAGCTGGCTGGGTTAACAGCGAGCTCCCGGCAAGGCACGACGTAAGACCTTTGGCCGCTGGCATGTCGAGCTCTCCAACATTGGGGCACAGCTGCAACGGGCAGGCAGTACCAGTTAGAGAATCGATCAAGAGGTAAGGAAGGTTGATGGCATACCTTTGGGCAGAAATATAGCCTGAAAATCTGTCTTAGGAACAGACATGAAAATCTGTTGTATCCTGTTGTGACTAGATTGGGCTAGGTATGTGGCTACTTCGACCACTTCGACTCTAATGGCTGCTTCGGCTAGCTGACTAACTTAAAATTAATGATCTTAATAAGCCTTTACTTAACACTGGACTTGTTTTCTTCTTTTTTAGTTTTTATTTATACTTGAGAGCTGGACTTGAACTGAGAACTTGAGAGCGTACTAGTGCAAACATGGAGCCTGCAAAGGATCCGAAACGTCAACTAATAATAACTAGTCAACTAGTAATGAAAGAAGTAAAGAAATGGAGCACCGTTCATAAAGTGATTTATGAAATAATCGGTGTGCATGAAAATATGTGAAATAAATCAACTATTTTGCAATCCATGACAGCGAAATCCACCGTATGAGCTATCTGCGTCTGTCATATTGATTTTCATATACGAAAACGAGAATATCCTTAATAATAACAGAATTAATGTCAGTTTTGCGTATGAATGAGTGACGTTCCCTTTCTCATTTGATATAATTAAAAACTAAGCCGACGGACCCGACTCACTGGCTAATGGCGTGGCTTTGGACATGTAGAATATGTAGATACGTATTATTTTTTAACTATTTAGATATCAGCTTTATTAGCTTAATTATTAGTAAGGGTTGGTGAATACACCAATGTCCCAACAGTGGGGATATAAATGATACTAAGTACATTATCATCATCATCAACCTATTTATGTCCCCACTGTTGGGCCACAGGCTTCTTTAAGGATGAAATATGGAGAACAGGTCTTGACCTACTACGGGCGGATCCATCCACTAATCCGTCATTCCAGTTGAAGACTGCAGATAAAGCCCGAATAAACGGTGCGAACTTCCTACCTCCCTATAGAGAATGTTTGTGCTCTTACAGTGAAGACACTATTGATCCAACAGTAGATATATTAGTAGGCTGATGATGATGGTATCATTATGAGGGTCAAAACATTAAATTGGTACCGATGTTGCACAAAATTCAGAGCCGCACCGCACTGTTGGTTGCCTACAATAACAAAAACGATAAATCAGTACAACCTCAAAATTCAATTAGTGTAGGGTTAACGGTTCGCGAAACCCCGACCCGGAGTCAGGGTTGTCACACATTAGGGAAAGAATAACGAAAATAAGGTTTTTTTTCATTTAATTTTCACTTTATCATTTTTGTAATAGGTAAAATATTTTTTTTTTTCATAGAAATAATTCAATTCGGTTTAACGTTTTGTTTTAGATGCAAAATAATTTATAGTGCGGCCTGCGGTCCTATTTCATTTTATTCAAGTTTAATTTTTAAGATCAAAATTTGTTCTGTTTTTCTCCAGGCTTTGCTTTTTATCCATACAAAAAATTATAAAAACCAATTCAATTGATAAGCTTTTTAGAGTATAACAAACAAGCTACTTTCGATTTAATTATTTGTATCGATTGCCATTTTTAATTTAAAAACTTGATTTACTGATGCAACTTGCTTAACGTAATTTAAAAATACATGGCATATTGTAAAAAAATAACTTTACACTGAAAACCCTAGTTTGAGGATGTAACGTGTATAATACATAATCTCTGGAAATGAAACGGCAAGGAGCTTAATGTTTGGCGGGTATCTATCTATCGGTTACCAACAAAATTTAGGTATTCGAATAACTCCCAGGTTTTAAGCTGAATGTCTTATATTTGCTGATACACTACAAAATCATTGGTCTTGCCAACAAAAAACTTTGGATAAAACGATAACTTGTCTGAGAGAGAGACGTTTAAAATAAATTCTTCAAAAGAGCTTCACGAAATTCGTAGTAATAATGAAAAAAACAGACAAGTGCGAGTCAGACTCGCCCACCGAAGACACGGTGCACCCAATAAAAACGAATCGCCGAAATGTATGTACGGTATGTGCATAACTTCAGAACTTCACTAAACTGGATAGTTAGGGTTCCGTACCCAAAGGGTAAAAATGGAACCCTACTGCTGTCACTCTGTCGTCACAGAACAAATTTTTGGTATTTTATGTAAAAGGCTTGCCCAAAGCCAATGAAATTATTTTCCATGGAGGGCCCTATACGTGGAAAGGAGACGAATTTGTTTCCTTTTTTTCCCCAGCATGTGACACATCATTGTCTAGTACTCATTGTATAGGATATAAATATAATTTTTATTATTTGTTTTGTTTCGATAACAAAGAAATGGAGGGTTAAAAAGTTGTCTTTGTAGACGATTTTTGTTACGGGGTCTATCTCAAAATCGAAACTAGTTAGGAATGTGAAATTTTGGTATGTGTTGTCCAATATGCTAGATTTAAACAACAAATAACAAAAACGCCGATTCGATATACTTTGTAAGTTGTGATGTAAATATATATTTACGGAACCGTAAAAGAGCGAAGCCAGACTCGCGCTTGGCCAGTTTATCTTTTTTTATTTGTGTCCGTTACTGTCAGGCTAAGATTTATATAAAAGAAAATAAAAAAAAAATCTTCAAAACATTATGTAGTGGTAAAAATTCCCTGGGTCGGCTAGTTTGCAATAGCTCCTATTTTCGTAACGGCGATAATTAAATATTATATCACACACATAGTCGTAGGTATGTACTACACATAAATCCTACATAAACAAATGCCTCGGAGATATTAATCACAGGTGGAAAAGATTTAATTCCTCTCTCACAATGCCGTTTGCATTCCTCACAAGATAAGATGTAAAGGTTACATCCACCATCTAAATTTCTCTTCAAATTGATGCGTCCCTGGTATTTCTCATTTTCTTCATGGCACGGAACGACTGTTGCTTATTTTGTTGATAAATGTACACCTTTGTAACTGGTTCGCGAAATTCTGTGGCGTATTTCGGGTGGATACAAAGATGAGAGATTGCATGACATGTCTGGAAGTTTCTTGGACGATACAATTGCGATTGTTTGCTAATAGCAATGGACGTTTATTTGAAAAATAAGAAAAAATACCCGGTGTTGTCTGATCTTAGTCACTATTATTTTGATATGAAATTTTATTATGATCCAAAACTCGTCGTCGATAAAGTTTGTAGGGTGCTGATTTTAAATTATCTATCGTTCAAAAATAAAATGTGCTACGCATAGATTTGCTATATTCAAATGATTTAATTAAACACAATGAAATTTTTGTACTATACGAATTGCACCTTGTCCCTGGGCACCATGCTGGAATCTAAATAACAGATTCCAATTACATTTGTAGTTTTGATTAAACAAAACTGTACATTTTAAAAGGAAATAACGAAACATTTAAGAGTCTTCGCTACGATAACTAATAATAATAATCGTAGTAAGAAGTATGACAATTTCAAAGTAACGTTATGTAACTTTAACGGTATCTTTTAACGGTTTTAACTTTTTCGAATCAATACCTAGCTTGATATCAACCATTTATATGCCTAACTTTCATTTAAAGTAATCCCAAATTTCATGTTTATTGTTATTTTGTTTAGATTTGAAACAGTTTTTGTCTGATTAGTTCTATGTAAGACAAGTTTACGGGCTCAATCAAGTTTTATATCGTGAAGGAAGCCGTAATTATTCTCTTGGGGGTCGTGGTTTCCTATCGTGGGTTAAGTAATTTATTTTAGCTATCAGGTTGAAGTACAGGCATTAGGGTTTTCTAATCCACATTGATTTTGGCTGGTGGATTATCTTCATGAATAGTTTTACTCGATTTCATTACAAAGTTGAAAAGGTCTGTGACTAGTTTTTGGGACTCTTGTTTGTATCGCTATGGAGCCATCAATTTAATAGAACTCAAAACTCGAAACACCTCTGATCTTTAAAATGTTCTACTTATTCGTTTGATTTGAGTCATTTGTTCTACTAATCGTATTTAAATAACAGACATGTTCTTATTTTGAGTTTTCCTTTTTAAATATGTATATTTGTTTTTATTCACTTATTATTATCAACTTATTGTCTATACAGGGTGTAAAAAAACCTATGACAAAGACTAAAACTACGCATTCTGCACACCCAAATAAGTAAAATTACAAATATTTCGTATTTTTAAGTTACAAAAATAAAAAAAGACAGTACGCAATGTATAGCGCGGCGCGCTACTGTGAAGCTACGAAAAGAATGTGCCTGTGTGTGCGTGTGTGTAAGTGCGTCGATAAAAAGTTTCTAAATAACGTTTAGAAAATACAAAATGTTTTAATCTTGAAAAAAAAAATTGCCGTTGACCTTCAATATCTCTTCCTTCAATTATCTTCAAGTTTATATATTTTTTTCTATGAATCTATTTTTATTTTCATTCTGAATGTTTGTTAAGGTAACATTTTTAGAGTGGGTTTCAAAAAGGTGACATTTTACAAAATAATATAATAATAATAATCTATATTATTTCTTAAAATACATGCATAACCAGTAAATCTACAATACAGTATTATAAGAAAAAGAGAGAAATGCCTTACTAAGTACTATGTTTTTAAACAAAACCATATTTAATCGTTGCACATAGTCGTAACTACTTAAAGATATCATAGCACTTCAACATAATAAAATAAAAGTAACTTGAAGCATCTTAATATGCTATTAACTTTAAAATAACCTACGCGGTACAAAGTATGAAGTTTTGAGATTATGTACTTACAAATTTGGGTTTCTGGTCTTAACACTTCACTCACTGTATATGGCACTAGGTATTTACCAAACAGCATTTTTATAACTATTAAACAGTAGCATTGTCATTAAATTCCTAATTTTTTTTTTCTGTTATGCAATTTTTTAAGTATTTACCTCCCGTGCTAGTTAAAAACTGTGTTACGGAGAAGAAATTATTCTGAATTAATTCGGCCAAAAACGTATTTATACAATCTTTAATATAATTTAAGCACTTTAAATACTAGAATTTTGTGTTTATGTACACTAAATTTCTTACATTTTTTTGTTACGGGTAGACAGTTAAGCTTTGCTACACAAAAAGATGGGTACTATTCCAACAGTTACCACAGTATATTTTAAAAAGACAGATACTTTTTCACTTCGTAATAGTGGCAAACTAAAAAAAGCTAGACACTACATATTAATAATCCTAAATATACACATTGAAGTCTATATATTTTATTTATTTATATATTTTTTTTATAATAATATAAATTAAATAATGATATTAATTACTACATAAATATAATAATAAAGATACGACATTAAATATATATAAATGAATAGTTTAATTTACATAAATATATTATATTTGAATATTTTCCCTCTTTATATGGATATAGTATATAGATTTCAGTTTCTTATATAGATTTATGCTCGCTCGAATAATAACGGTATCTATTCCATTCCAATACCTAAATGGATACATTAAGTTAATAACTCCAATACTATCTCACAAATACCAATTTAAAACACTCTTTAACTATCTTACAATATCTGTGAGTGCTTCAGTTGCAATATAATCTAGTTTTAAAAGAAATTCTGTTAGCTTTTTCCCGCAATTATATCTACATAGTTAGGTCAAACAATTTAACTTCTTTGTTAATTCTATTATAGAGTAATGGTCCATGATAGTAATAAAAATGTTTGCCAA